GAGAATTTGACAAGTGGTAATGTTTACATACACTAAGAGGAAGCACCTTTTTCACAAAAATTGCTTCACTTACTAATGGGAAATAAATACAGTATATTGTTTTGTAATATATATATTCCAAATCTATAAATATTAAAAAACCTGGTGCCTAAGGATAAACAGTAACTCTACTTTACTCACAAAAGAAAAAAAACACATATATGCAACAGCAGAACTCATCCAGCTTCCTGACCCAAACATATGGAGAAACAGCAAGGTCTTCAGTGCCTTGCAAAAGGCTAGCAAGAGTTAGAGCCATCAGCATCTCCAGAAAGATGCTGTCCAATAGGGCAGGCTCTGACACCAAGAAGGCACTATTCCCGATCCAACAAGATGACATTGTTTCATTGACACACACTCTCTACAGATCCAGTGGATGATCAGAGACAAATGGGAGAAAAGTAGTCCCACAGGTAGTCTGGCCCTATGCTATGTAGGGCTTCTAAGATTCTAGTTATCATCTTGTTGCACTTAGAAGCCCAGTCCTGGAGCAGCAGGGTAATATGAGTACCAAAAACTGCCTGTTCCATTGCATTCTGGGTCAGGAAAATGTTGGACCAGGTGACCTGGTTGGGTTAATAGCATTGTTTCTGGCTTGAAAAAAGGAATTGCCAACAACTAAGTGGCCCTGACAAGATTTTCCAAACTCCTTATTAACAAAAGAGGAAAAGTTGATAAGTCACTTAAAAGTGTAAGACTATTGCTCTGACTAAGGAAAGTAATGTCCTAGTAAGAGGCACAGAAGACTAGGAACACCTATGTATGGATTTATCCTTTCCACATCTGTCACTGTTTCATTGAGACTCAACAATGTAAATGAGAAAAGATGAGCAAGTTATATTTAAGTCCTTTTAATATTCTTTTAATATTACAACTGCTGCATACTAAATTGTTATGCTATATATTCAGAAGGTCATGGAAGGAGTTAGTGAGGACATCCCACACCCCGCTTCTTTTCAAACTGCCATTTTTTTCCCAATAAGATATGTCAGTCAAGACTCCTAGTGCATAAGGACACTAGATTTGCTATAGGAGGAAACTGTTGCCTGTAACCAGTGCTTGTTAGCTTACCCATAGTATTACAGTTGCACAAACATTGAGCCAGTTTGGGAACACAATTTAAAGGACAGGAACTAATCACCTAATACAATGGTGGTATGCTGTTATAGCATCACAGATTGTGATTTACATTAACTCTTCCAAAGGATTCACTGGAGACTAAAGTAATTTCTTCCCTTCCCCAATTCTATTATATAGCCACAATTAAATAATAATAATCTGCAGCCAATACAATGACTACATCAATAAATAATCTATAAATCAAGATCAACGAAGACTATCCAGGCTAGATTTTCAATAATGATGGTGATGGTGCCAATGGTAATTGAAGCAGAAATACAATTGAAATTATATATGTACAGACAGTAAATAACTCCCCCTTGCTGTAGTTCAAATAAAAAATAAAAATGGCAGCAATATAAGGTTTCTTCTCCACCTATCACAATCCTTCTTCCAATATTAGTGGCTATTGTTTTAAAGGGGAAAAACTAGATTTATTAATATTATGTATGTAATAGACACAGAAGTGCATAGCTTAAAGACCAGGGTCACATACATCCCACAAAAGCCTTTAATTGCAGCCCCCAAAGATCTCCAGAGTTACCACTGACACTTCATTTTTAATGGGTCAGAAAGAGAAAATTAATTTCATGACTAGACAATATTCTAAAATTATTTCAGGCATCATACTAGAAACCAGGAGACCATGAATTCTAGCCCCACCTTAAGCACAAAGCCAGCTGGAAGAACCTGGGCCAGTCACTATCTCTCAGCTCTAGAAAGGAGGCAATGGCAAACCACTTCTCAAAACCTTGCCAAGGAAACTGCAGAGATTTTCCCAGTCTCCAATAATTCAGACATGATTAAATGGAAGAAAACAAAACAAAACAAAAAACAAGTGTACTTTTTGTCTTGTCCTATCCAGTATTGGGAGTAGTCATTTTTCCCTCGCTGAAAATTATTCAATAATTAAATGCTCCCCTAAACTGTGAATTCTGTTATTGTGAATGAATCACTCCATCTCTCCCATAAGCAAACATCTGCATTTCAAACAAAAAATAAACACTCACAAAGAGCTAAGAACAAAACAGTTTTCCTCTCAAAACTCTTCCAGATAACCACCCTCAAAATTCCAGACATCCAAACTGACATTCAAAGGAAATTCAATTCAATTCTACTTCTACAATTTAAGATATTAGGACAATGTGGGATTCAAAGGAGGTGCATTAACAGGGCTGAGCCAAAACTAAACAAATTATATTGTGGCTTAGTGCAATACTTGAATCCGATTAATATTCTATATATGTCGATTTCAAGTATTATTTCTCCCTCCTTTCCTCTGCCCTCCTTGACCCATCACACTATTAGCAAGTTGGAGGTCAAACTGGTTTATTCTGATCTCACTTTAGGTGTTATTAGAAACTTTTCCATTCTTCCTAAAGTGTTTCAAGTTGAGTACTAAGCAAGAACGAGGTCATTCAAGGTTGGAACTTTGTCAGAATGATTAAAACAGCACCATAATGCTATTCATATTCTGAACTCAGAACAAAGCACGTTAAACTTGAAAAGGAGAACATTAATAAACAATTTAATTATATTTTCTCCACCAAAACACATTTCATGTCTGTACACATTAGATTACCATATGGCACTAGGGCAGTGATGGCGAACCTTTTAGAGACCGAGTGCCCAAACTGCAACCTAAAACCCACTTATGTATTGTTGGGTGCCAGGTGGGCGTGGCCAATTGGGTGGGCGTGGCCATTGGGTGGGCATGGTCCATTGGGTGGGCATGGCTGCAGTGGTAACGGCAGACTGGTTGGGACTAAAAAGTTCAATCAATCAATTCCAACTTTGAAAGTTCTTTTTTTTTTCCGCGAGAAGTTGAAATTGACTGATTGATTGAACTTTTTTTTTTGCACACAGCGGCGGTGGCCTAAAGTGAAAAGGTTTTATAAAACCCAGCTGAAGGCCTAGGACTGGGGCGACGGCGCACATGCCCACAGAGAGGGCTCTGAGTGCTGCCTCTGGCACCCGTGCCATAGGTTCGCCACCACTGCACTAGGGCATGGTTTGTTTTAAATATAATTGATTGAACATGTGATAGTACCTAGTTTAGAAAAGGTGGGTTCATGGATTACATTAAATCAAAATTACACAAACCACATTGTTTTAATGCAGTGTATGACTTTGGGCCAGTAACTCTGTGTCGACCCACTTCACAGGGTTGTTGTTGTGGGGAAAACAGGAGGAAGAAGGAATATTAGGTATGTTCACTGCCTTGAGTTATTCACAAAAATAATATACAATATAGCATGGGAGAAGTTGCAAGAAATTATGTATGGAAAAGCCCAAACATGAATGGAAAGCTGTAACAAAATGAGACTTAGAGCTGAGCAAAATGTGGGGCTATGAGCTACTGTATGACTGTGCAGAAGAGAAAGCGTTGAAGGCAAAGGATTGTGATCTACAGATGAAAACCTGAATATGATTGTTACATCTAAGTCTGTTTTCAACTGATAATGACCTCTGACTGCTGTGTCGTAACATGGACAATTTCACTGCAGTGATCTAAGTTAAGGGAGTTTTTTTTGCAGATGGGTTTGCAGGTTTCTAAGTAAAAGTTTAGGCACAACTGATTTTTTCTTCTTCTGAGGAACAAAAGAGAGATGGGTTGGCTTCTTCTCCTGATTTTGTCACTACTCACTGGAATTATAGTTTCTTGGAGCTGGTTATATGAGGAAGAAAAATTGCTGTTGTGTTGCAGACCCATTTGACTAACCTTTGTTCCTCCTTTTGTGTGTTAGAAGACACCATCATGAACACATGCGAGCTCATCTTTTAAGACTCTGACATAATAAAGTAGAATTCCACCTAGGTGAATTTGGGAAGTTCTTATGGCTAATCCTGTTTAGCATGAACAAACAAACCTTAAATGATATTACCTTTGAGAACAGAAATGTGCTGTCGGCTCTCCCCATCTGTAGAGTAATTCCTGAATTCAATATCTTCTCCATCTTTTAATTCAACCTTATCATAACCATACCAGCCAAGGAGCTCATTCATAGTGTTTTCTGCAAAATTCTGTAAGAGAAGAATTACCTACTTATTTATGCAATCAATAATCATTTAGAACCAAAAGATGAATACATAAATCAAAATCTATTTGCACTGTACCGTGAAATAGCGGCTTTGTCCCACCTCCTCTAGACTAATGTTCATTTATCAACTCACATACATAGAATGTAAAGCATTTAAATCTTTGAATGACATATGTAATTATGACAGGTCTGCATGAATTTGTAATTTAAAGAAAAATATGAGAGGGTAGAGAGCTATTTATCATTCTTTGCACATGAATTGATAGTTGGCAATATATTTAACACATATTTTTCATAAAACTTTATATTCTGTGCTTCTATAAAGTGTTTAAAGCACACCAGGAAAGCAATAGAAGAACTGGAATTGTTTCTCAGGCACTAGTCAATCAATCTTACTAGATTACAGCAATTCAAATTAATATACAGGCCACCACTTCAAGCAAAGATACATTTAAACCAGATCTGATAAAATAGAAATGCAGATAATTATAGAAAATAATGCAGATATATTTCAGATTGCGTTAGAAACCACTAATTCCCATTCTCATATACTGTTCTTCCTGAGTAGTCTCAGCTATTTCTTTTCCATTTGGTAAACATTATGGGGCTCTGTGTTGCCAGCTTGTCTTGCTTTTTTACAAAACTTTTTTTATCTTTCCCACTTCCACCCTAACTATAAATAGTTTCTTTATTCAGTAAACTAATATACTGTTTTCTTTCCACTTGCACAAAGGCACTTTCCCACTTTCTTCCCACCTGCAATTGGCAATTAACACAGATCTTTCAACACTGAAATGGTACGATCATGAAATCATGGCCTAATTAGTAATTAGAAAGTTGAGCCCTGTGGCATCCCAGAAAGCAGAAGCCTTGGGCTGAACCTCTCCCTCTTCTACCAACACTAAATCAAAGAAAAGAAAAGCCATACTTTTCTGCTGAAATATATTATCAATCAACAACTTGGTGGTTTCTGGTGCAGATTGAAGATCCTTACCAGAAATAAAGTGAATAATTTTTGCAAACAAATCTACCACTACCAAAATATCAATCAAACTCTCAATACCCAGTAATAACATTCAAAGAGACAGCTAGTCCCAAGATCTTTTCAAAGAGGAAATTCAGTATAAAAAGTCAGTTGACTTAGGTAAAAATCTGGCATGATGGCAGATATGACAAAAGGAAACATGTCTTTATATTTTCTTTGATGTGAGTGAGGCTACCAAAAATCCCAAAGTAAAACGTATTTAGTTTTGAACTGCCAGGATGTCCTACACCAGTGGTGGCGAACCTATGGCACGGGTGCCAGAGGCGGCACTCAGAGCCCTCTCTGTGGGCACACGCACCGTCGCCCCAGTCCTAGGTCTTCAGCTGGGTTTTATAAAACCTTTTCGCTTTAGGCCTCCGCCACCGTGTGCAAAAAAAAAAAAAAGGTTCAGTCAATTTCAACTTCTCACGGGAAAAGATCTTGCAAAGTTGGAACTGATTGATTGAACTTTTTAGTCCCACCCAGTCTGCCGTTACCACCGCAGCCACACCCAGCCAATGGGCCACACCAGGCAATGGGCCACACCCACCCAGCACTCGACAATGCGTAAGTGGGTTTTGGGTTGCAGTTTGGGCACTCGGTCTCTAAAAGGTTCGCCATCACTGTCCTACACTTTATTTTTTGACCGAATTTCAAGACTTCTTCCCTGACAGAAAAAGAAAGTACAGATACTGTACAGAGGAGTGATTCCTTATTTCAAGAAAAGGCGAAGGAATTAACAGGAGTTATCCTAATATTTATTTAGCTGAGCCCATATGGGTCTTTTTCCTTCTGCAAGTACACTTATTCATTAAAGTCAGGAATGTGGCCCCCACTCCCAAGATCTCAGTAATCAAAATTAGTTTGTGTTTGCATGAGAGAGGCAAAACTGTTCAGATTTAAGATTCTGGCTATTCCAAATTCTAATCTATGGCTATTCCAAATTCCAAAAATGTCTTCAATGCTGGAAGCATCCTTTTTTGGCCAAGAGCTTCTTTTTTTAAAAAAATACCATAGTTCCATTCAGCAAGTAAAAAAATTCTGGAATAAAAGACATAGTGTCCTAGATCTTTCCCTCCACCAGTAGTACCCTGTAGAACTGACATGTCAAACACAAGGCCCGGGGGCCGGATGCAGCCTGCAAAGTGGTTTCATGTGGCCCACGAAGCCATCCTGGAAACAGTGAGGGAACGGCCCCCTCTGCCTTGGTCCTGGCCCAGGCCAGCCGGGAGCCAATGTACAATTTTGTGGTGGCCATCTATGCTGAAACACATTCAGTCTTAGCTCCATAAGCCCCCCCTGCATGGCCTGAGAGGAATGGTGAGGCTCCTCCAGTGGACCATGCCTTGGCACTTGCCCCGGTCCCACCCCCTTCTGCCTGAGACCCTCAGATCTGTCCCACTCCTGCCCAGGCCCCCACAGGCACCCTTGACGCAAACGATGTAGAGCTGGCCACACTCACCCAGTAGGTCACACCCACTCCATCCACACCCACCCAGTAGGGTGCACCCAGCCTGGCCACACCCACCCGGACCCGAGGGCAACCGCAATGCTGATGCGGCCCTCAATGAAATTGAGTTTGACACCCCTGCTGTAGAACAACACAAAGTCCAAGGTATTTGTTTGCATCATAGAAGGACAATTGAAGACTCCACTGCACAGCAGGACCTGGGAGGCGAAAGCTACAGTATTTCAGATCCTGGAATCTGAAGCGTCCATGTAAATTGAATCCATGTCTTTATAAGCTGATGAGAAATCTGGTGTGTTCTGCACAATCAGATATAAATTGCTTGTAAAAGCTATAAATTCCCCCAAAACATGTCTATGGAGATTCTCAGTCATCCAGATCATGGCTGTCATAATGGTGCTTTTCAAAAGGCAGCTGAATTTTCTTTGTTTTTCCTTGAAGACATTTCACTTCTCATCTAAGAATCTTCTTTAGTTCTTCAGTTCTAAACTGAACAAGCTTCTTGGATGAGAATCAAAATGTCTTTAAGAAAAAATAAAGGTGCCTTTTGAAAAAGCACCTTTGGAACTCCCAAAACAAGGTAGAAAACACTTTCATATGGCCCATTTAAATGCTTTCTGAAGGAATTCTATAGCCCAACTAGTCCAATGTAAGGAGAACAAAAGCACATTTCTCCAACTTGATATATAGCTTGCATATGCAAAGTAATTCAGAATATTCCTACATGTTCAGTATGGGCCACCAAAATGTCTGAAAAAAATTAAAATATAAATATAAAATATAAAATATAAAATAAAATATAAAATTCAGACGTCTGAAAATATTTCAGTCAATAAATGTCATAAAACTAAAGGACAATTCAAAAGGTCAAAAGACATCACTATGTACTTAAATCTTTTATAATGCATATCAAAATCAAACTGTAAATCTCTCTCAACACCGGTTTAATTAAAAATGCTCACCTACTGTAATAGTTGCAGGAAACCAGATACAAATGGAAGCTGGCACTGATCTGTAACAATTACAGAGTTCAAAAACTCTGACACATTCAGAGTGCCATCTTTTTTCTCGAGGAAAAAAACTAAGAAAAGGAAGTAGAGGAGGAAGATTTCTGAACTCTTTTTACAGATTGTCATTAATACTTCCCTTTAAACAAATCAACTCTATTTTGCAGGAATCTAACCTCTAGGAACCGAGGGATAGTATAATCACAGTAATAATAAGGAAGCAATATATATGTCACTTTCTTTCAAAAAAACACCAATGAAGATGGAGTATTTTTCTAATAAATCAAAAGGAATAGCTTTTGAATAGTGGTAATGTGAATGACAAAATTTTAAGTGCTTGCAAATAGTGTCAAGTGTCAATAATGTCTACCCACTAGGTAGAATTGACCAAGAAATCAATTCTACAGGAAAGCTAAAAGTATTTTTCTTGAAATTGGCTATAACAGACCCTTGCCAATTTGATTGTGAGGTCTCCCCTCATCCTTCTTACAGTTCAATTAATTAGGGAGGTATCTGTCTCTGCCACTTCCAAATACTATCTTGTTGTGTTTGAAGTCCATGTTTAAACATTTTAATGTTTCAGCCCTTTTGCCTATGTAACAGTTCCCGCATATCTCCATCAAGGTTATCTTCCTTGCTCTCTACAAATTGTGACCTTGACCCATCTGGTCCATTTCACTGGTCCACTATGATCCCAGTGAATGACAGAATTATGGATTTGTAGCTAGTCCACCCCATGAAGAGAAGATTAAACAAAATTGCAGTGTTTCTAGATGGTCTTCAATGATGAAATGAAGAGAAGCAGTAAACAGAGATTGTCTTCCATCTGTGGTTTCAATGTGTACTGGTATATTGAATATTCTATTGTCTGATATTCATGGTACGACATCTTATCAATAAAATCAGTCATCTCTCCTGTTTCCAATACAGGCAGTACTCAACTTACATTTGTTTAGTGACAATTCAAAATGAACTTAATATCATTTTTTCATTCTTATGACCATTGCAGCATCACATGATCAGAATTCAGACGCTTGACAATTGGCATGTATTTATGATGGTATCAGTGTCCCAGGGTCATGTCATGACCTTTTGCAACTTTCTGCCAAGCAGTGTCTATGGGGAAACCTGATTCACTTAACAACCATATTACCAATAATTTCAGTGATTCACTTAAGAACTGTGGCAGGAAAAATCATAAAATGGGGGCAAAACTCACTTAACAACTGTCTATCTTAGCAACAGAGATTTGGGGCTCAATGGTGGTCATAGGTCCAGGCAGGGCTTTTTTTCTCAGAGAAAAGGTGGTGGAACTCACCTCCCTCCCCTGGCCACGCCCCCACCCAAACCTGGCCACGCCCTCATCAAACCCTAGGACCGCCCCTTTAGAGAACAGGAATGCAAGTAAAATTTGGGAGGGGCTATAAAAGTAAATGTATGGAATTACATAAAAAGCAATGCAGTACATGTGCAAANAAAAAAAC